TGTCCCTGTCCACAGCACCAGTGAGCACCACATCCCATGGCCCCGTCCAGGGGAGGGGACACTGGTGTCTAGCACACTCACAGCTCAGCACAAAGAGAGCCCAGCCCTCCCGGTGAGCAGCCTCCTCTTTTAGCTACAGAAGTAGTTTCCACTGTTGCCCCTTTTTGCCTCGGCTGCTGGGGAGCTCCAAGTGTCCCTGCTTGATCTCCTGTGGCTTCCCATTCCTTCTGCCTGGGGCCTTGGGACAGACCCTGAGCCACAGTGGCACTCGAGGTGGAGACCCTGCCCCGGGGTCCAGTGAAGGGTGGGCACCGTGGTGCTTCTGGAGAAAATCAGCTCCCAGTGCAGCACTGACCCTCCAAGCGTCCTCCAACCTACTACCAGCCACCTGCCCTCCCCTCCGTCAGGAGTGTCCCCACGATTCTGGCCTAGAGGGAAAAGGAGGCCGTCACCTAGGTCATCCATCAGCTCCCCCTGGGCCACCTAAGCTCCTCTTCCCACTGCACTGCCCTCTCCCACTCTTGGCTGGCCTTTCTGGGTGCTTCCACATCCTTCCCAGTCTGGGCAGGCCTGCCCTTAGCAGGGTCCCCTGATCCCAGCCCCCATCTCCAGAAGCCGAAAGGGTCAAGGCTGACCTGAACAGGCTTGTGGAAGCTAGGGGCAAGAGTGAACGGCATGGTCACTGACTTGGGGCCTACCCATTTCGAGGTACTCGTCAAACAGGCCCTCACTGGGCAGCAGTGCGTAGTCGGCTTCCCAGGGGGCCTGGTCAACAGCCGCAGAGGTCCCCCCCTTCCTCTTCTTGGGACGAAGCCGGAACCGCTGCCACCAGCTTTGGAGCTTGCTGGAGGAGGCCAGGCAGGAGAGTGAGTGTCCCTGCTCATTCAGCGCCCCATCTGGCAGGGAGAACCTGAGTCTGCTCTAGGGAGGGGGGGCTCCCTCTCCACCCACAGCTTTGTTTCTCACACTTGGGGAGTTCCTTGGGTGGGGGCTGCGTCAGGCATGGGGGTCAGATATCAAGCAAATGCAGAGCCGGGCTTATCAGATGCCACCACCCTACCCATCCAAGACCCTAGCAAGCCCGCCATCCTGGGTCCCTCCTGCCCTGAGCAGCCCCCCACCCCAGGCCCATTCCTGTCAGGAGCAGCCCCCCACCCTGCACCCCTCTCACCCTGGGCGGGGTACTCACGGGAGGAGGATCTCCTGGGCGTTGTTCAGGAGCTGCTTGCCCACCATGATGACCAGGAGCTCCTGGGCCAGCTCAATGAGGCAGCCCCCAGCCGCACACTGCGGCAGCCGGGCTCTTGTCAACCAACAGTCACCCCTCCCAGACTCCCCTCCTGACCCCCCCACTACTGCCAACAGGGCTTTGGCCACCTATGTGCAGGGACATTGCCACCTGTGCTCGGTGGAGGATTCTTGGAGACCTTCACAGGCTGCATTAGACTGCAGCCTGGAGGGGGTGGGGTGGTGGGGAGGCAGGGGTGTCCTAGGCACCAACATTTGCCTGTGAGAGATGGCCTGGGGCTGTAGGCCAGAGTCCTAGGGACGTGCCCTAACACAGGGTGACAAGCATGCCCTAGGTGTCGAGGAAACTGTGGCCAAGCCGGGGGAGGTGCCAGAGCACCATTCAAACACCTGTACCACCCACACCTGAGCCCTCAGCCCCTCGGCCCTGGTTCTGTGGCCAGAAGTGCCATGGCCAGGGCCCGTGGGAATTCTTTCTTCTCCCACCTCCCATCACTAAGGAAAGCAGAGCCGCTGAGTTTGGGGCACTAGGTCCCCTCTGAGTTCCCCAAGGTGTCTGCCGCCCACTCCCCACCTCCCTGCCCATGTCCACCCCACCCTGAGTCTTCTGGGGCCAGTTCCCCAGCCCCCCTGCATGTTCTGTAAGCAAAGGGCCCTCTGGTGTTTACAATCACCCCCAAGCCCCCCAGAGCCCTCTGAGGGAAGAGACAGTTATGGGGGAGGGTCCGGGGACCAGCTGGGGGTGAGCCGCTGTCCAGGCTGCGTGGCCAGTGGCCGGTGGTTTGTCAAGTGGCTTGGGGGTGGGGGCGGGGAAGGATTCTGTGCAGGTGTGAGCCTTGCCCTGGGCACTCACCTCCTCATTTCGGACCCCGAACAAGGTGTGGTAGTTGCCTGGGTACCCCACAAATCTGCAGGGACATCTTGGTCAGAGGCCGTGACTGGTAGGCCTCCTCCCCACAGCCCAGCCACCCTTTCCCGGACTGTGGCAGTCTGGCAGGGGAGTCCACTTGCTGCCTTCCACCTGCCCTCCAGGCTGGGGGCATCCCCACCCCTGCCCGAGAGCCCGAGGTGGCTGGGGAGGCCCACACCTGCCCTTGAAGAAGGCGATGTAGACAGGGGAGGAGTAGAAGTTGACGAACTGGAAGATGAACACCTTGAGGGTGAAGGCGTCCTCGAACTTGGTCTGCGTCCGGTGCATCTCTGCAGAGAAAGCTCGCTCAGCCCAGAAGGAGCTGAGGGAGGGGGCCTGCAGGGGCAGGGGAAGGTAGCCTAGCTGGGGGTGGGGGGAACATCCATTTCTTGGGTCCCCACTGTAAACATCTGCGCACAAAGCTTCATACATGTACACACATACAGCAGAAACGTTCAGTCATGTACACACATGCACATACATGCACACACAGCTAACATGCACATATAGTCATGTATTCCCATGCGTGCATGTACATACAACAGACATGTGTACATTGCCATGTGCAAAACATGTACACACGCATATGCACACAGTAGACATGGATACATGCAGTCGTGTACTCACACGTGTGCACATGCACACACAACAGACATGTATGGTCATGTACACACATGCACATACACCCACACACAGCAGACATGTATATAGCCATGTATTCACACACATGTGCATGTGCACAAGATGTGCATGGTCATGTGCACACATGTACACATGCATGCACATACAGTGGGCATGTACATATATGGTCAGGTATGTGCATACAGATACACACACAGATATCACAGCATTCTTGTCAGCCTGCAGGCCCCAGCACACCGCTGCCCAAACCGGCCAAGGGGCCATTGGAAGGCTGCACTGGAGACCGGTCGGCACGGGGATGGGACTCGCACGGGAGCTGCTCACCCCAGCGCGTCAGGATGTGGGCCAGACCCACGTAGACCTTGGAGAGGATGAGGATGAAGATAAGGTTCACCACAGAGCCTGTGATGCTGGCGATGCGGGATGCCTGGTGGGAGACAGCCTAGTCAGGGGGGCGCTGTCCGTGGTTAGCTCTACCCCTCCACCATCTGGGCAAGAGCAAAGCCTCACCCAGGCCGCCAGGAAGGTGTTGTTCGACCTGGACACCACGATGGACATGATGGCACGGTACAGGATGATGGACACAAGGCACATGACCACCACGGCCACCTGTGGGGCATGGAGCACAGGGGGCTGGGGGCGAGGACACAGACCACCGTGGTGGGCTGCCTATCGGGCCCAGGACACTGGGGACAAGCACAGGACCATCTGTGGGGTGTGGGACATTGGGAGCCAGGGCAGAGAAAACATAACTTCCTGCAGGGCCTGGTGTGCTGGGGGTGAGGGTGTGGTCACAGGCCCCTCTATAGCCTCCCTATAGCCCACCCGGCTCCACACCACCGCCTCATCCTCAGCGCCTCTCTTGGCCTGAATTCGGTGTTCCTGCATGCGGCAGCCCTGACCACTGCACCATGTGGTGTGGTCCCTGCTTTGGCTTTGAGTTCCAGGTAAGCGTGATGGGGGCCATCCTTCTGGGGCAGTAGGGTGCAAAGTGGCTGTCGGTACCATCATCAGCACCACCACAGAGCCCGCCAGCACCCGCCTCGCACGGCTCCTTTCGGGGAAGTAGGGCTCGTCCTCGCCGGTGATGGGGTTCAGGGCTGTCGTGGGCGCCGCGGCTGCAAACTGGGGTCGAGGCCTCTCCTGTAGGGAGCAGGTGTCAGCTTGGGGTGGGGTGGGAGGCAGGGCAGGGGCCCACCTGGACAGAGGACGGCCCACCTCAATGTCTTCATAGTCGGAGCAGCCCCAGCGGTAGGCCAGCGTGGCGCCCCTGCGCTTCCAGTACTCCAGCAGCAGCACCGCCCAGAGAGCCATGAAGAGGCTGAAGAAGACCGTGCCGCCGTGGTCGAACAGCCGACCAGCCTGCGTGACAGCAGCCTGCGAGTGGGCTGGGGCCGCTGTTCCTACACCAAGCCTCAGGCTGGACCCCGGGCCTCCCACCCAGCTCCTCTGTGAGGAATTCTGCCTGTGCCCCTGGACGCAGAACTAGTCCCCAGACACAGAACTAGTCCCTGACAGAGCTAGTCCCTGACACAGAGCTAGTCCCTGACACAGAGCTAGTCCCTGACA